TATATATATATATATATATATATATGTATATAAACATATGTAAAACTTACATAAGTAACAAAATAGATAAAATCAGTCTTCTTTACATTTGCCAATTCAGGATTTAAATTATAAATGGCATATATACAGTAAATGCAAAGAGTATTTGTACAGGGGAGATTTTTAAAGAATTTTATTTGTTGAAAAGAACTATTATTGCAATTTATTAACCCGGCGTGAGCTAGGTTGAGTATGTCACATCCAACACAGTGATCTCTTTAACGTTTAAAATTGTTACTAATTTGATTAAAATTTTAAACACAATTTTCTTATAATTCTGAATATTTGTAGTTTTTATTTAGTGGGAGATCCGTTGTGTCTTATGAAGTACTTTTAGATTTAGGTACTTTTTTTTAGATACTTTATCACCTAGTTCACGCTGGATTAATAATAAATATGTTCTGTCCTAATATAATTAGATAATTCTGTGAAAATAATCATAATGTTAGAAGATAAATTTCTCGACTGTACGAATACTGTTTGTGCGTTTAAACAGTACAATTTATCATTTTTTTCTTATTTTATTAACATATCTTTTTTACATTTTTTTAAGGTAAAATAATTTTGAGAAACACATACAATGGATTTATACAATCTGTTTCATTCTTTGTTATTAAATTACTAATTAGTGTGTTAATTTTCTAAAAATAAGGTTTTTTTTATCGTTGTCTCCCTTGTACAAATTTTGTATTTACTAGATATAATTCTTCAGAAATCACTTATTTCGATGATGAAATTAATATTATAAAAGATAAAAAAAAAACAAAATAAAGTAAAACTTGTTTTATAATATGTAATCCGATATCAGTATTTTTTTTTCTGGAAGAACACAAGGTTACATCATACAAATTGTCTAAATGCATATATAAAAATTTTTATGTTCAAATATCTAGCTTTGCGACGCATACAATACTTTGTTTCTATGATCGTTATTTGGCATCTCTATGTATTATCTTGGAGACAATCAACATTTTTTTGTTATTTTAAATCTACAAAATATCGCACTGAATATTTTCGTTTAATGTATCTGTTGTTTTGAATAGTTACATTTGTGATACTCTTCTATCATTTTCAGAGTTTTTTTTTCTTCTTTTTAACGTATGAGTCTACTCGATATGATATTTTGTAGTACATGTACGTTCATCGTGAACACAGTTTCTCATAATCTCATATTGTGAATCAATCACAGATATTAACGTTTTATGAATATAACATCTATATGCTAAGGTTAATTATTTAAGGATAATAATATATAAATTTAAGATTGCGTATAATATGCGTAATATTCTAATATAATACGCATTTTATAATTATACAACGACGTCAAACGCTTAGTAATTGTTCATCTACTGTTATTTATCTACTTCTTACGTTTAGTTTTGCGTCGTCTGCTATCACTTCTGAAAGAATTTTGATCCCCCGATGTATTAACGCCAGCAGATTTACTATGATTGTAGAGATTGTTTAGGAAATCCTCGAAATCCGCTTCGCTGTTTCATAAAAAAAAAGATATATATATATATATATATATATATAAACACACGCACGCACGCAAGTGTATCATTTTAATTGACGCATTAAAATATCTCTTGAACAGTACATTTTAGAGAAAAATGTTTCAGACAAAAGTTATATTTCGAGGAATACATAAGATGGTGCTATTGGTTTGACCTTTAAAAGTTGTTTGAAGGTCACGTAAAAATCAATTTCTTAAATCAAATTCTTAAATGGAATCCCATATATTACATATTCTTACAGCTTGTCTCAAGAGTTTTCCAAAACTATAATGAAATTATTTTTTATCAAGTATTTTCGAATTACGAGGCTTCAAAAGTACAGTACCGCTAGTATTAGCATTATCCAAGGTAATCCGACCGACGGTTAAAAACCTCTTGAATGTTCAGAATCATGACTTGGATAACTTTTGTCAAGATCAAGATCATTGGAGATATTATTCCTTTTATTTTCATTTTTACATTTAGAAATATAATTTTTAGCGCAGAAATGAAAATATATAATTATAACTCGAAAAGTACTTGATGAAAAATAATTTCATTATAGTGTTTTGGAAAGCTCTCGAGGCAAGCTATAAGAATATGTAATGAAATATATGGGATTCCATTTAAGAAATTGATGATAATCTTTACGTGACTTTCAAAAAACTTTCCAAAATCAAACCATCTTATGTCCCCCTTAAAACCAAATAACTTTTGTCTGAAACATTTTTCTCTAAAAAGCGCTGTTCAAGAAATATTTTAGTAATTAAAATGACACCTTGTATATATATATATATTACATCCATTTTAAATATACATGTTTAAAAAGGAATCTAAGAGCTTCTCAGAATTGAATCGATACTTAAGTTCAAGAAGAACTATAATGATAAAAGTCAGTTGCGTAAAATGTACCTTGTATTGGGATCTATCTGTTGCCGCTTTTTACCGCTATTGGGTGTTTGAGATGGTAATCTTTGTCCTAAGACGATTCTATATTGGACACTATGCGTATTCGCTCTAAGATGTTTGAGATTCCCAGCTTGGCAAGCTGCCCAGTCAGTTACATCGTACACAGCTCCTTCCATGCACGCGTAATAGTGCCACAGGAAACCCATTAAACGAGACTCTGCCCATATATCACCCTGTACAGTTTAAACAATTTTAAGAAAAGGAACAGCTGATAAATGTATACAACGCGGTACTCACTTCTTTCGCACTGTGACGTATTTTGCATTGATTACAAAATCGCGCGGCATAACAAGGACGTTGCGTAGGGATACGTTTGTGTCTCAAGCCACAATTTGTACATCTTATTGTATTTGCTGCCTGCTCCATCTTTCGATGAAGTTGAGATAGCAAGTCGCTTAGCTCGCCCCAAGCCGCTTCGACTTGTCTAGTCTGATCAAACGCTTGCCTACGTTCCTAAAATAATGCAACGTTAATAAATGCATAGCGATCTTATAGGCCAAAAGCTGATATTGCTAATTTTCATTATCGTTATTACGAAAAAAATATGAGAAATGGATGCTTTATTACCGGTTCCCCAATGATATCGAAGGCATGTACCAATATTTTGAATGCTTCTTCTGCCCCTGGCTGATGATTTTTATCCGGATGCACTAGGAAAGCTTGCCTCTTGTAATATTTTTTAATATCATCATCCGAGCATGTAGGCGTAACACCGAGTATGCTGTAAGGATCCTTTCCTTTGCACGCTAATAATCTTTTCATGGCTTCCTCACCAGTACTGGGTAACGCGATATTAGTTTCTAGTCCGCCATGAATCCAATTACCATTATCTTCTTTGTCTTCGTTCTTCTTAGTGTTTATCTTTCGCCAGAACGCAAATTTACTACTACCAAGCCAATTGTCCAATTGTTTACCAATAGCGTTTAAAATATGAATTTTACAAAATGTCACAGCCACATACATCCACCAGCACTTTAAATAAAGTATGGTGTGATACCAAGCACATTTGCCACTGAAAAATATTAAAAAATAAAAAAAAATGGAAACCTTGCTCTAAAAGTAACTTATATACAGATGCGAGAGTGCTTTCCATTTAAACACAAACGT